AGCCCTGGGGAAGAGCAATACTTAGTCCTGAGTCAGAGAGTTTACAATGGTGTAAGAGATCTTTTAGGAACCCTCAGTGATTCCATGGAGGTCATTTAGAGTGCATGCGCGCACAGAGACACACACACATACAGACACACACATGACCAAGAATAGGGAAGGAGAAAAAGCAAAGGTGGGAGTAAGAGCCTGATAGAAGTCAACTCTTTGTCAACCCTTATTTCTTATTTCCTCCCTCTCTTATTGTCCCCCCTACAGATTGCACGAGAGCTGCACCAGTTCACTTTTGACCTGCTAATCAAGTCACACATGGTGAGCGTGGACTTTCCAGAAATGATGGCAGAGATCATCTCTGTGCAAGTACCCAAGATCCTTTCTGGAAAAGTCAAGCCCATCTATTTCCACACTCAATGAAGCTTTGGAAGCCCCCATTTCCTCACCCCACCTCACTCCCCTTTTCAGATATCTTCTGCCTGTTATAACTCTGCACTATTTCTCTTCTGTGCCTTGGGGAATTTCCTCTATTGATGTGTAGTCTGTCGAGAAGATGTTCCTGAATCCTGTTTGCCAGACTTTTTTCTATTTTCCTTCTTTCTTCCCCCGCCACCTCCCCATCTGACCCTCCCATGGCACTTTCAGACTCTGCTCTCTGCAATGAATGTCTCTTATCTGTGTTTTGAATGGTGTTATATTTCTTTAAATCTGTGATGATCCTCATGTGGACCAGTGTCAAGTTGTGCTTGTTTATAGCAGTGTGCTGTGTGCCAGCCACACAAATGTTTACTCACTTAGTGCCACGGGAAGTTTACGGAGCTAAGAGTATCTGGGAAAACCAAAAGTCAAACAAACAAACAAAAACCAAAAAAAAAAAAAAAACTTGCTAGGATATTTTTTCCTTTCAAAAATATAAAAACAAACAAATCCCCAAAGACGCTAACAGTGACTAGAATAAGGTGAGCATTAAAAGACCATGGGGAGTCATTGCTATTTTTCAAAACCCTCCCCCCCAGAGTTTCTGCAAAAAGCTTTTTCCATTAGAGGGCAGGATGGCCCCAGAACTGACTTGGGGAAGGGGAGAGACAGATTTAAGACAGGATAAAGAGGACAGCTAAATCACCAATATCTGTTCACAGTCTTGGTCCCTGAGGTCTAGACTGCTCAACTGCAGTGCAATTCATTGTGCTGAAAGTGTTCTTATTTAAAAACTTGTCTGCATGTGAATGCCTCCCCCACTCCAATCTCTTTCTCTCACCCTCTGCCTCCATGCTCAAATTGACTTTCAATAGCTTTTCTAAGAACTTTGAACAAATGTTCTCTTTAGCCAAAAACTTGGCCACTTCCACTAAAGAGTAAGACCAGCAAGAAAGAGAAGAGAGATCTGATTTTTTGGAAGGCCCCATTCAGATCCAGGTCTGCTTTCCCATTTATGGGCCAAGGAGGAACTTGGGGCTGGAGTTAGAGGAAAAGGAAGTGGTGATTTGGCTCTTCTCCATTTAGGACATTGAAGAATTAATCCTTCCTTGCCCCCACCTTTAAAAGACCTGAATGCTTTTAGCCTGATTCCATGCTGAAGGTTCCTCCACCCTCCTTCACTGTTTTGTGGGTTTGAATTTCACCAAAAACAGTGGTGAAATTTTCCCACTTCTCTAGACATGTTCACAGACTCTTTGCTAAGAGCCTCCGTCACAAAGAAGGCTAATAAGCAGCAGATTTAACATTTATTTCTAAATGCAGTAGACTCAAAGACTTCTTACCAAGTATCTCTCATCAACTACAAGATCTTCTCTTCATCCCTTAGACAAACTGGAAAGAAGGCATCAATAGATTGGACAAGCTTGGCGACTTGCTTTTGTCCCCCAGAGATGGTACCTTCCTACCAAGTGGAGAAATGCCCACTTTCTCCTTCAGTGCAGCTAAGGGGGCAACCCATATTGGGGTTAAAGAGAAAATTCATTCAGTTACCAGGCTGGGAAGAATGGGGCGCTAGAAGCAGAAACCCTGTAAATGCTCTCCTTGCCACTCAGCATATTCACCTGCAGAAGTCATGGGAAGAAGAGAGAAGAAAGCAAGAGGAGACTGACTACTAAATTAAGAGGCAAAGTTTAAAGCCAGATGGGTACCATCTGGTGAATTTACTCCTCTTCCTCCTCTGCTGCTGATTATGTGCTCTGACTTTGACCATACTCAGTCAGACTCCCCACCTATGTTGCTGCCTGTCAGTCAGAGGGAAGCTGAAACACTGAGATGACAGGACCATGGCCTCTTTTCAAAGTTCTGGTTGGTGTGGCTCCAATGGGCTGCCACCCATGAACTCAGGGTGTGTTCCTGGGACACTGGTTTCATATAGACATTTGGCACACCTCTATTCTGTTGACTTTGTTCCCTAATCCCAAGTGAAGAGGGAATGCCCAACTACTTTCTCATCTTGGCCATAGCCTCCTCACTTAGCTCTTTAATTCATCTGCTAAACTCAAGGAATTAGAAGCCAGTCAACAAGATGCCCATTTCAGTTGGTTCACTTTACTTGTTGAGAAGATAGTTTCTGTGTGATCTGATATGATCTACATGGGTTTCCTCCCCTGATTTCTGTGTTGATATTAATAGCCAAAAGAACTTGCAAAAACAGTTTCTTTAAATAATAAGGGAGAGAGGAACCTAAGATGGGTGATATACCAATCCAAGATTGCTGGATAAAACTAATACTGGCAGGTTGTCTTTCTGGCGTAAGATAGACAAATTCTGGCTTTCTTTGTTATTACACCATTTGGCTTTTATAAGTTCACAGGATCACTTTTTGCTATTTTAAACAGAAAAAAAAATACACCACTCTTTTCAGTTAAACTAGATTACATTTTAATAATTTCTTTACATCTGTTTTGAAATGATCTTCTCTTTTTGTGGTACATGGATTTGATATTATCATTCTAATACCTCTTCTTGTAAAGACTAGAGTCTCTCTCTCCTTTCCATTTCCTGATTATCAAATTTTTCATCATTAGAGATTTCTCAATTGTGACTCTTGTCCTTATGAATATGTATGTTTTCACTTGTGAAAGCCAAAAATCAGTGTAATTAAAATCAGCAACAACTGGATTACTCCAAATCTCAGAATGGCAAGAATAGGGAAAACAGCCTACACAAGGCTTTAGGCCTACTGCTTTTGCACTGGGGAGTCTATGAGAAAAAGTATTTTAGCTTGGCTTTGTTCTCTCACAGTTGAAAGGGGAATTTATGCTTTCTATTGGTCATTGATGTTTCAGCCAATGTAATTGGCAGAAGTCTCATTTTGCATGCACTCTACAAACAGTGTTGATGTGGTTGGTACACTGTGCTCACCTGTAAAGGATTGGCCAATAAGATCCACTCACCTGGTGAGCTGGAAGATGAAGATCACTCATCAGACAAGTCACTATCTCCAAAGAGGCTATTTCTAAAGAGGTTTGCAGTGTTCAATGGGGATGGAGAGTTAGGAAGAGAAAAGAAAAGGGAGCACCATAGGAGAAGGTCTTGTCTGTGTGGGCAGCAGACCGCTGCCAGGGTCACAAACTCTGTGGTCAAATAAAAGAATTCTGTGGCAATTTCAACTTTTGTTCATTGGGCAGTTTGCCCAGGCTTAGTGTCTGAGCTGAAATGAGGGTTGGATTCTACGTTCCATTGATTTTCTATGCCACAAACAGTGTCATCATTCTTGGAAAGCTCATTATTTTTTTTTTAATGAGAAATATATGTTAAAGGATTCTGTCATATCTTTGAAAAAGAAAATCAGTAATACATATATATTTTATATATGTTCACTGGCACTAAAAAAGAAAAAATGTTTCTTTCCATCCCTCTGTCCTTTAAGTAGTTCAGGTTTGAGAAATAATGTGGTGATGCTAAAGTTCCTCTCTGTCCATCCTTTATTTCTAAATGTACATATGCATATATAGCAAGAATAATTCTGTTTGTACTTTAAGAGAAAGTAGTTCTACCATCCACATGATGCTACCAATTACACAAATGACCTAACTTTGAGCTTCAAGTAGCTCCTGTTTGTTTCATTAGCACAGCACAGACATGGCCTTGACCTCTTTTCTCCCTTGATATTTAACAGAGTACAAAAGCCCAAGCCACTGCCTTTAACCCCTTCCCAACCTTGTTCCAGGGTTTCGCCTTATAATATTTTTTCCAGACAACTCAGTAACTATGCCTGCATGTTTCCTGCATGGCCATGAGAAAACAAGTGGCTGACTACTAATTATCCTGTGCCAGTTGCCCAAATGAAAGGTCACTGAGCCAAGGAAATGGCCTTCATGCTCAACCCCCTATAGGGAGTCATGAGAATCAGGAATGCTAAAGCACAGGATCAAATCCCAAAGTTAAAGTCAAAATAAGCCATTTTGCATGTGCAATTTCTTTTATAGATAGTTATGTTCTCATTGCTGCCTTTTATAGGCAGTTCTGTTCTCATCGCTAATCTCTTTGAAAATCTTTGAAAGATGTTTTAAAAAAGACAAAGAGTTAAGAGCATCACATTATGTAACCAAAGATTACACTGTATCTGCTAAGATACCAAAATTTTTAAGGGCAGGGAGGGAGTAAACATTGGTGCCTCTTTGGTAAGCTATCCAAAGACAGACTAAAGGACTGACTTATAAGAGTTCTGAGGGTTTCCCACACACACAATATACATGTTTAGAAGAGTAGAAGATAATTTTGAAAAAAAATAATTGGGATTATGGGTTCTTAACTAAGAGATTTTATAAGGAGAACTAGCTTTCCTTTTCTCCACTAGTTGTTCAGCAATTTTTTAAAGGTCCATAATTGCATGGTTGGAAATGGAGCTGTATTGGCCACTCTGTTTGCTAGTGCCCATGGTAGTTTATCTGGAGATGTGAATCCTTGCTGATAAAGAGAGCATTTAAAGGACTAGATTTTGCACCAGAGGGACAGCAGGCAGGAATCCTCATTTCTTCCCACTTTGGAAGACACAAAAAAGTTCTCTTCAGTTTAAGGCAAAAGGTTGAAATATATTGTACATGAGTATTTGTATCCATGTTTCAAAATTGAATTATAAACATAGATATAATGTGTTTTGATAGCTTTACCTTTCTCTGCTCCTTTATATTTGGTTCCAGGTCACAATTCATACCATGTACTTGTGAGAGAGGCTGCAGTTCCATTTTGGAAGCTCTATAAAAACATAAAAGTCACCTGGGTTGATCAGATAACTAAGAGATCACTGCCCCTGTTAGGGCCTGATTCCCAGGCCTTGCAAAGGAGCAGAGGTGGGGAAGCGGTATGGTACATGATATATTGCACTTTACTAGCCCAAGACTGATGAATGTTTAAAGGGTGGTGAAAACTCATTGGAACTGACTGGGGAAGGCCCAGGCTTGGGGCCAAAGGTCCATTAAAATGATTAGTCATTGGCCCCCTAATGGGACCTAAGCATTTGGAAGAAGGAAAGACATCTTTGTTTTTCATCATCCTTGTGAAAAAAGGGCAATTTACTGCACTTGGGAACCTGGAGCAAGTGCTCTGTCTTTCACATAATTTACTCACCTGTAATTGAGGTGCTCTTGCTACTGGGTGTCTGTGTACTTTAATTATGGTTTTGGATATGTTCTGTAAAGATTTTGACAATGGAAATGTGTTTTTATCTGTTAAAAAATTGTCAATGTACTATAAGTTATATCTCTGTAGGTACTGGTCTGTCTCTGCCCATAGGTAAGGATATTTTTCTTCAATTAAGAGATTGACACTGGGGTCTATTGCTCAAAGCCTCCCAACTCTTAACCATTTCTAGGTGAAGGCAGAAAAAATCACGTTATTCACCCCTCTTCAGACACTTCTGCTGAGGCAACAAAACACTTG